ATGAGCTTTGGAGGGGACAAACGTTCAAACCACAGCATTCCACCAAGTGTGCCAGGAAGCATGTGAGCCTAAGTCAACCAGCAGAGAAGTCCTGGGTCTCTCAGCAATGGGACTGCCTTTGTACCCTGCCGAACTCAGTCATTAGCTGGGAGCAGCCTGTGGGAAGTGCAATCTTGGTGTAAATATGGTGACAGACTTCAGAGGCAAGTAGCTGGTGTTCTTGATCTACTATTAGAAGCCATGGTTGGAAGCTTGCAAGGTACATTCTCATGGCTGCTATACCTACTATGGGATATCAAGTGAGTATGCAACCAGAGCTGCCCATTATGAGCCGAGTATTTCCAGATCCAGCAATAAGGTCAGGCAAGCACATATGGTACATTAGAGATTTGACTAAGCAAGTCTGGATAGCACAAGATAGTTACACACATGGCTGACCCCATTTCATCTCCTGCTACTGCACCAGTGACTCCCCCTCAAGCACACCCATCCACCACCTCATGGCAGGTTCCTGACAACAGTTGATGAAAGGAGGAAAACAGGCCTGGCTTACCTATGGGCTGCCTTAAGAAGATAAGCTGAACTTCAACTGTTATACACCACAACCCTTGGACATGGCCCTGAAGGACAGAGGTGAGAGGAAAGCCTCCTGGTGTCCAGTTTCAAGCCGTATCCTTGGTTGTCCAATTTGAGTGGGAACCAAAATACCCAGGGGTAAAGACATACATGACTTCTGGACAGTGGTGAATGGCTTGTCTGGTTGCTCGAAGGCCCAGAAACAGACAAGTAGGAAAATCAGTGACACGGCAGTTTGACAAAGAATCATGCAGATCCACCTATGGGAGTGGGACAGAGTGTGCAGATCTTTGCTTCACCTTAATGCCCACCAGAGAGTATTTACTGCAGACAAGGAAATCTACAAACAGATGGACAAACCTTGTCCAAGGCATGTCAACCAGCCTCTTTCCTCAGCCATGTAGTGCTTGCACGATAAGCCCATGAGCAAAACAGCTAAGGTGGCAGACAGAACCCCTGCATGGGCTCTGACTCACCATGGCTGACCTAGGCAACACTGGGGTTAAATGCCCAACAGCCAGCAGCAGAGACTAACGTGAGCCTTCAATACGGTACTATTTCAAGGTATGGTATCAAAAACTATTCGGCAGCGAATAGCTTATGTCAGACTCTTTCTACTCTGTGATCGGGGAGGCAGAGTGTTTCATTCTTGCCGTAATTGGCATCTACTTAGGATGTGGTTTTATGGGTTTACCTTCCCTGCCCACAGTGCCTTTGCCGGCACTCCTACCTGAAGGCTCTTGCCTAATTTGCTAACATGAGATCCCACATAACATCACCTTAGGAAAAAGGGACCTATTTTCTGGTGAAGGATGAGACACTGAAGAAATGGTCACAGGATCCACTTGTTCTGCCATATGCTGCATCAACTGGAAGCAGTCAGTCTAGTAGAAGAATGGAATGGTCTATGAAGAGATCAGCTAAGCTATCAACATGGTAGCGACACAGCACAGGGTTGGAATGTTGTACTACAGGATGCCCTTCCTCCTTCCCTCCCTTCCTTCACTTCCTGCCTTTTCTTTCTTCTTTCCTTCTTTCCTTCCTTTTACTTTTCTTCCATCTTTCCTTTTTTTCTTTCTTTCTTTCTTTGTGGGCTTTCTCTCCTTCTCTCCTTCCTTCCTTCCTTCCTTCCTTCCTTCCTTCCTTCCTTCCTTCCTTCCTNAGGGACCATGACAATGTGGGGACCTCTGCAAATGGCTCCAAGCTCTCTCTGCCCTTCTACTCACGTGGTCATGGAAGTCTCCCCGAACTCATGCAGCCAGGTGCCATCTTGGAAAGGAAGGCGTGTGGGGTGGGGAGCAAATCTGAGACTCTGGATGTGCTTCAAATGATTATGTTACCTAAAGAGACTTTAAATTACTGAATAGGACTGAGTTTACCACATTGACTTAAACATGATTGTCTACTATGAACCAGTGGGGCAAGGCATGGTCTCTTTGTTAAAAAGGGAAATTAACAGGCATTAGATGTATATAAAAGACATACTACCACCAAATTGAGTCTATCTCTTCTACAAAATCAGAATGGAAAGAGAACTATGGTGGAAATGGTTTCCCAATTATATATCTTCTATTTGCTGTTGCATCTGGGGACCACCCCTAATTATCTCAGGCATCCCCTAATGTACAGGGCCTATGATCTGGGAACACTAATATGTCAGGAAACAATGTCACTAGCTATCATGTACGGAATCCCCTATAAGTAACAAACCCCAGGCTAAATGCTTGCATTTATCACTTAATTTAATGCAATTACACCCATTTTGTAAATGTGGAAACTGAGGATCTGCAAGGTGGGATGACTGGTCCAATATCACAAGGCTGAAAAGCAGCACAGGCAGGACTTGAGCCCAGGTTACCCGCGCCTAAGCTGCAGGCTTTACAATTTGGGCAGGAGGGAGAAGGAAATGAGGAGCACTAGGGAGATCAGGGAGGATGGGCCAGCTTCTGCAGTATGTGGGCCATGAAAAATCACTTAATCTTCCAGGAAACTAAGTAAGCACTTGACGTTACCTCCTTGGACTTTGATGTCCCCATCAGTAGCACAGTCTAGTGGCCTGGAGGGCCCCTGAGAGACACAGACCACTGATGGGCTCTCCCTGTTCTCCCACATTGCTCTGCTAAAACCCAGAGGGACAAATCCAGGATGGGACCTAAGACCTCAGTCTGAGGCTTGGCTTCACATATATGCTAATCGACCCCTGCTGATAGGCAGTGGATATCACAGCCCACTTCCATTCTCATAGGGGGAGGCTAAAGGAACCTCGAAAGCAGGAGAGTAAAGGCAGCTGCCTCCGGGTCGAACCAGCCTGCAGGTGGGTGAAACAGAGTAAGCATATCCTGGGGATGGAATCAGGTCACTGGCACCATGAGCCCAGGGCTGGGAAGCCTTAGAGGTTCCTTCCCATCACCTGCTTCTTCAAACCCATCTTATGTTCATGTTAAACCCAAATACCATAACTTGATGTTCAAATCCCTTTCCATCTGGCTCCATCCTTCCATTCCAGACTAATGCCTCAATGTACCTCATCACTGCACCTGAGTCAACACAGGGAAAAACAGGAGGGACTCCATCTTTCGTGCACAGGACTTCATCTCGGGATCAGAGGTTAAGAGCTCAGCTTTCAGTAAAATTCCATAGTATAAAAGTAAGAGCTACAAGCCAGCAGAAAACCACCCTTTCCAGGAAGGGACGAGGGAACAGACAACAGGTATATAACGATAACGGTTACGTTCCTTTTATAAAGTTAATGGTTACTTAAGAAATAACATCAAGGGGAAGTGTAACAAAAGTGTTCACACAAACATGTTTTACAGACCGGCGAGAATCTTCTGATCATGAAAAAGGACATTTTTGAGAGACAAACAGCTGCATGGTAACAATCATGGAACAACATACTACGTCCTCTTTCTCAGCTGCTCTCCTCTCTGAAGAAAACCCTTATAAAGTCTCTACACAGTCCCTTCAGGGAGCGACTCTTTCCTTACCTGTCAGATCCCTTGTATATGAGCTATCTCTAGCAAACTTTGCCTGCTTACCTTCACTCTGAGTTCACTTCTACGACACAGAGACTCAAGGACCTGGCTTTCTAGATCTAGTAACACACCGATCACTGCTCCTATCACTGCACCAGTCACTGCACTCATCACTGCACCTATCACTGCACTCATCACTGCATCCCCATTACTGCACCCATCACTGCACCCATCACTGCATCCCCATTACTGCACCCATCACTGCACCTATCACTGCACTCATCACTGCATCCCCATTACTGCACCCATCACTGCACCAGTCACTGCACTCATCACTGCACCCATCACTGCACCCATCACTGCATCCCCATTTGCACCCATCACTGCACCCATCACTGCACCCATCACTGCACCCATCACTGCACCCATCACTGCACCCATCACTGCACCCATCACTGCACCCATCACTGCACCCATCACTGCACCCATCACTGCACCCATCACTGCACCCATCACTGCACCCATCACTGCACCCATCACTGCACCCATCACTGCACCCATCACTGCACCCATCACTGCACCCATCACTGCACCCATCACTGCACCCATCACTGCACCCATCACTGCACCCATCACTGCACCCATCACTGCACCCATCACTGCACCCATCACTGCACCCATCACTGCACCCATCACTGCACCCATCACTGCACCCATCACTGCACCCATCACTGCACCCATCACTGCACCCATCACTGCACCCATCACTGCACCCATCACTGCACCCATCACTGCACCCATCACTGCACCCATCACTGCACCCATCACTGCACCCATCACTGCACCCATCACTGCACCCATCACTGCACTCATCACTGCACCCATCACTGCACCCATCACTGCACTCATCACTGCACCCATCACTGCACCCATCACTGCACTCATCACTGCACCCATCACTGCACCCATCACTGCACTCATCACTGCACCCATCACTGCACCCATCACTGCATCCCCATTACTGCACCCCCTCACTGTGCTCCAGCACTGCACCCCATTCTCTGCACCCCTTTCATTATACCCCATCACTACACCCCATTGCTGCATCCCATCACTGCCCCCCCATAGCTGGCCCCCATTGCTATCCCCTCTTCACTGCACCTCCATCACTGTAACCCCATTTCTGCATCCCTCACTACATCCCATCACTGTACCTCATAACTTTGCAGCCCATCACTGCATTGCCACTACTGTACCTTGTTACCGCATGCAGTGAATCCCCATTACTGAATCCCCATCACTGCACCTCGTTACCGCATGCAGTGTTTGTTACATTTTCCTGTTCTGGAATATTTTCCCTTGACTTCTTCACCTCATGAAATCCTACTTGTCTTTCAATATCCCATGAAAAACCATCTCATCCATATAGACCTTGTAGTGGATTGAATTGTGTTCCCACAAAACTCACTGAAGCTTGAATTGTGTCCCTCAAGTTTTATGTATTAAAAATTTAGCCTCCACTGTGACCGTTAAGAGAGTGGGAAATCCTATCATGGTAATTGAAAGGTGGAGCCTTGAAGAGGTGATTAGATCGTAGGACCATGCAGTGGTGAATGGATTAATAATGGCAGTCAGTGGCGTGGTTCTGAAGCTAAAACAGAAGAAAGAGGAGAGTCTGTCTCTCTCTGTTTTCTCTGCTCCACATTTTTCACAATGTGATCCTCTGCCATCACTGTCACCACCACAAAGTCCTTCACCAGCTACGTTCCCTGGACTTTGCACTTCCTAGCCTCAGAAACTGTAAGCAATAAATTTTGTTTTCTTATAAATCACCCAGTTCCAGGTATTTTGTTACAAGCAACAGAAATGGACTAACACAGACCTCTTCGTTCTCAAATGCCCTGATTGTGCTCTTGCTGGTTTAACCACAGGTAACGATGAGGATGATGGTCACAACAGCGATGGTGACAATGATGATGAGATGGCTGAGCCTGGTCACAAAACCTCAGCCCACTTCTGATTTAAGTCATAGCTGCAGTGGACAGTTCTGTGCAGGCTCATCCTCATCTGGCACTGACAGCATGCCACTGGAGACACGGGTGGGCCACTGCGCTTTCTATTTCCCATGCATTCTCTCCCATCACGAAAGTCCCTTCTGTCTTCACTCAGGTGAGACTGGAATTATAAGACAGTTAAAGCCCCCAGGATAAACCCTCAAAAAAATGGCTGTGAGAGCTGGGGAAGCTCTGGAGGCGTCTGCATGCTGCCAGGGAGTAGGAGGTCCTAGAGAAACTGGGTTCATTGCTCACAGCAGCAGGCTCAGCACTACCCACTTATCTTGTCTTTCCTCTCCTCCCCTCTACTTCTGCTTCCTTCCCAGGATTACCTCCTAAAGAAACCCCCTTTCTACCCAAATCCCTGCCTCATGTTCTGCTTTCAGGAAACCAAACCAAGTCAGTTGGTAGTAGAAGGAGACATAGAGAGCTGACCCTCAGTGGGATTCTGAAACTGGACCTCTCACGAGTCAGATAGCACTGGATTACTAAGACTCCATGGTGGATTGGGATGCGGTCCAGAGGAATGGGCAGCCTGGGATGTGTGTTATCTCGAGTGCCTCTAGGTACAGAGGCAATGGTAACTATAAGGATTATGTTGCTGGCCGGCTTTTGTTACCTGTCTTGGAAACCTTGAAGAAAATGGCAGGCTCAGGTCAATCAGCCACCAATATCACCTATCAACACAGGACATGCTGTGAAAATCAGAAAGCCTCCTGGCAGCTTTTAAAGATACCATATCTCCTGGAACCACAGTCAGACAATGCTAAAAATTAGATCCCAAGTTTAACCATAAGGGTGGCAGAGCTACAAAGGAGGTTGATCTCCTAAGCAAAAGTCAGGACGCATATAGGGAATGACTGTGACCCTGAGACATGGAATGGGGACGTTTGGATGGATGCATTTGAGAACCATGAACACTCAGATTCTCCAAAACTCTCAAAACTAGCAGAAGTAGCACTCTCCTTCATAGAGTAGAGCAGATACTACTACTTGGTATTAACGCACAGACAATCTGTGACACATGCTTCACAAGATAAAGCTTTTCCTCGTCAAGATCAGCCTACACCACTCTTTGCCCCAGGCCAGTAACTAACGCCTGTCTTTCTTTCTTTCTTTCTTTCTCCCACCTAGGTCCCTTCAGGCCTGCCCTGCCACTAACAGCACCCCTGGCCTGGCCTCCCTTTGGGCCCCCAAGAAAGAAAGAAAGACACCCCCACCACCAGGGTACCCCCAGCCTGGCCTGCTTCTTAGAGATCCCCTTGCCTGCCCTGCCACTAACGGTGCCACTGGCCATTCCTGGCCTGCCACTCATGGTGCCCTGGCCAGGCCTGTTGCTAAAGAGCCCCACTGCTACTATGGGCAGGCCTGACCCACTGGCTCTGCCTGCTTCAGGACTGCCCTGGCCTGGCCTGCCTGTAAGAGACCCTCAGTCAGGACAGGCCAGACCAGTCCAGGGGGTCTTTTATGGGCAGGCAGTCCAGGCCAGGGGGGCCATAGCACTACACAGGCCAAGGGGGCCTAGTGAAAGGTAAGTCAAAGGGTTTACTTAGTGGCAGGGTGGCCCTTATGGCAGTGGTCTACGAGGCACACACCAGTAAAGGGGGTCCCTATGGCAAAACAACCAGTGTGTTCCTTGGGCAGGGCAAGCTATGGGTACCCTTAGTGGAAAAAGCCCAAGGAAGGGCACCCTTAGCAGCAGATCAGGCCAGGACAGGTGGCCCACAGTGCCAGGCCAGGTCAGTACAGCAGGGCCCTGGGGACATCCCAGGACAGGTCGGGGGATTCCTTGGCTCTAAGCCAGGCCAGGCAAGGCCAGCAGGGTCCTAGGGACAGGCCAGGCCAGGCTAGGGGAGCCCGAGAGGCAGGCCAAGCAGGGTCAGGGCTTTCTTAGGAGCAGGCCAGGAAAGGTTAGGTGGCACTTGGGTTAGGCCTTCCCAGCCAGGGAAGACTTAGTGGCAGGCCAGGCTAGGCCAGGGGAGCCCTAGGAGAAGGCCAGGCCACTCTAGTGGGTCCCTAGTGGCAGTCCAGGCCAGGGAGGCCCTAGGGGCAGGTGAGCCAGGGGACCCCTTAGTGCCAGGTCAGGCCGAGGAAGCACTTGGGGCACGCATGGCAGGCCCTTAGCAGAAGGGGGCCTGGCCATGGAGGCCCTTAGTGCTGAGTATTCTGTTATAGCCACACAAAACAGACTAAAACAGAAAATTTGTAACAGGGGTGGGATTTCACTTATAACAGACACTTGAAAATGTGGAAATGGCTATGGAACTGGGTGTTGAGGAGAGTTCGGAGGAGTTTGGAGAACTCAAAGAAGGTGAAAAGATGAAGGAAAGTTTGGAATGTTTTTGAAACTGGTTAAATGGTGGTGAACAAAATGCTTAAGGAATCATGGACTGTAAAGACCATTTAAAAGAGGTCTCAGAGAGAAATAGTTTCTTGCAAACTGGGGCAATGTTCACCCTTGCTGTAAAGTGGCAAAGAACTGGGCTGCACTGTATCCGTGCCCTAGGAGTTTGTGGAATTTGGGACTTAAGAGCTGTGAACCAGAGGGCCGGCCCGGTGGCGCACTGGATAGTGCGCCGCTTGGGAAGCGCAGTAGCGCTCCCGCCCGAGGGTTCGGATCCCACATACAGACCGGTTCCCGCTCGCTGGCTGAGCGGGGCGCGGGAGCAACACCGAGGTTTGCAATCCTGTTGCCGGTCCCCGGTCCGGTACGGGGGCAACACTGAGGGTTGCGATCCATTGCCGGACACGGAAAAAAGACAAAAAAAAAAGAGCTGTGAACCAGAGTATTTGGTGGAAGAAATCTCTAAGCTGCAAAGCACTAAGGAAGCTGCATGGTTACTTGCAACAGCCTACACTGAGTTATGGCAGCAAAGGCGTGACATAAATCCAGAATTTAAAAGGGAAGGAGATTGTAAGGATTTGGAACATTTGCAGCCTGGCCATGTGGTAGAGAAGCAGAGAGCATTTTCAGAAGGAAAATTCAATGGTACTAAGAAGATTAAGACAAAAGAACGAGATTATCAAGAGAAGGAGAAACAGGCCCTGAAGGCATTGCAGAAGCCTCTGGAGCCAACCCTTCCATTTCAGGCCCAGACATCAACGGAGACAAAATGGTCTTGGGGAACTGGTTTGAGGAGCCCTCCACGGGCTCACTGCTCAGGGCCACCTTGTGAAACTGCTTCTAGCACCAGCACCCCAGCTGCTTTGGCTGCTCCAGCTGTGGCTAAATTGGCTCCAGGTGTGGCTGGACCCACAGCTTAGGAAAATACAAGCCAGAAGCCTTGGTGGAGTCAAATTTATTTAATTAAAATAAACACTGAAAGTGAATACACGGCTTTTGTTGGGTTTTTATTATTCAAATAAACAGCTTTCAGATTTACTAGTCTATCAATTCCGTCATTCTCTTGTACTTAGTATATCCATTCTCCCGTGAATGAATAAGTAGTTTTAGAATATTTTGATATTTATTGTTTAATAATGACATATAAGGGTGTGAATTTGCTTTAGAAAGGAAATTTGACTTTATCTGCTTCATTTTATCAATTTCACTATGATGGACTTTAGTATGATTTTCTCCTCTTTTCTTTTTTATTCCCACTTGGGATTTGCTGATCTAATCGGGGTTCTTTAATCTGTAGGTTGATGTATTATACCCATTTTGGAAAATCCTCAGTAATAACACCTTCAGTGATGGCTTCTGCCCCCTTCTCTCTCCTCTCTCTGTCCCCCTCTGAGTCCAATTACCCATATGCAGTTGTAATGAGGCTCATCCACCTCTGGTTTTTCCCTCTTTCTCAGGAAAGGCCCTTCAGGGATTGGATGGAAATTCTAGAGCGTCACTGGTCAACCATGAAATATTGTGACAAATCCTCTTGTGATCTTAAGAGGTTCAGCTTGCTTCCTTAGCACACACATCCTGCAGCTTTATAATGTGCCAAAAATCTTGAGGGGCCAATCAGCAGCCCTATCCCTCTGAGGA